ATATATATGTTGGGTCAAATTTGTATGGAGGTTGAAAAATACAGGGGGAGTCTTTATGGCCCACAATAGTGATTTTAGACCACATTGGTAATGTCATTCGACAAGAATCCCAAGATGAATCAAGAATCTATTTTAGGTGTGTTATAAAACAAATAATAAATGTTTTTTATTAGCGTAATGGAAAGAAAATGTTCACGAGTTGAAAGATAGACTGTTCCATGCAACTCGGCTCAGCCTCGTTGAATGGAACAGTCGATCCTTCAACTCATGAAAATATTCTTTCCGTTTCACTCATAAACATTCATTATTTGTATACCATGCAATGACAACCATTCAGTGATCTGCACATAACATCTTGGATTCTTGGTACTAACCTCTGGTAGGCTAGAGATAAAATCATGTATGTTTGCTTGTTTTGCAACATTTATTATTGCATCCAAGTCCGGGATGTTTTCCACACTGTATGCAATATTCTCACGGATGGTACAGTTGAAGAGTACTGGCTCTTGACTGACGATACTCATCTGTGATCTCAAGAATGGTAGATTCAAAGTCTTGATATTATTGGAATCAACCATCTGAAAGAAATGTTCATCTTGTTAGTTCATCTCTTCTCTTTGGGAGCAATCGGTATAGTGATTAAGTATTCAATCTACTTCACGATAAATATGATTCATTTTAAATCTTTACCACAGAAACTAAATTACATATTGACTACATTTTACTTTCTAAATCAGGAAACATGTCCTACAATCGGTTGAAAATGCAGTTATGACGCGGTTGTTTTCTTGTCAATCTAATTAGCAATCAATAATAAAAGAACCATTTCTATCTTGATGTACTAGAAACACACCTACAGTGTGTTTCCAATCAATGGTTGCCAAGATACATGCTATTGAATGTGAAACCATAACAAAATATGATAACAAGTGTAGATTTAGACCAAAGATCTTATAAACACAAGATAGCGTTCTCCGCGATTTACGCGTAACAAATAAAAGCGTCGGTCAAGGTTCAAAAGTTTCCCATTTAGCAAGAGGGCGCCATTCATGCGCTATTACCGAAGCGAAAAAGTAATCAGTTTTGGAAGAGGGCGTCCTATCTGTTGCCATGGATCTGAGATGGTTCCTGTTCTGCTGTTCAAGGATTGATACCCTAAGGTAAAGTCGCACGGTGTACTGTATGGTCAGAGTGGTCAAGGGTCAAAAGTTTCCAATTTAGCAAGAGGGCGCCATTCATGCCTTATTACAGAATTTGCACTCGTAAATCGCAGAGAACGCTATCTTGTGTTTATAAGATCTTTAATTTAGACTTACCACACTACCTTCCGCTGGATCATAAAAACGTTCCAACATCGAAATTAGTGTGC